CGTGATATACTGGCTGACCCAGAGATTGTATTCAGCCAGTTCTGACAGCTTCTGGAGAACCAGTAGTGGAAATTTTGAGTAGTTCAGAGAACTGGCAAATAGGCTGGCCCCACCCCTACTAGCTCCCTGCCTCCCATCTGATCTTATCTTGTTGCCCTGAACAGGAGAACGCAGCTGGAAAGCAGGTTAGTGGAGTGGGGAGGGAATGGGGATTTTGCAGTATCCTTCCCCTGCCATGCCCACAAAGCCACACCAACAAAGCCACGCCCACAGAACCGATAGTAAAAAAAAATGAATCCCACCACTGGGATGAGCCAGGAAAAAAATATTGTCTCTCAGATCTAAATCATCTAGATAAGGGAGATCCCAAACTCTTCAGCTGCTTAACCTCCTCATGACATTTCAGTTTGTTCACTGAGCCCCCCCGCAATAGTTATTATATGAAATTAATTTAATATTTTTATAATACCATAGTACTATGAAAAATAAAAATTCCAATAATAGATAAATGGCACCAGTAACAACACACACCTGATAGAGACAATTCCAGGCCATTCTTGTAAGTGGCTGATGATTGAACCCTGATAATCCTTTCTTGCCACTAGCCACCTCACTTTCAGGATTAGGGATTTGAGTGGAGCTTTATAGATACCCCCAAAGAATAATCTACCTTCTATAATTCACTGACTATTGTAATGGAGAATACATTAATGATCTTGAGGAAAGAGGAGAAATGCTGCCTAGAAAACAATCAGGCAAGAGGGGCAGGAGCCAGCAATCACTTAATGGTCACAAAATGAAATTGAGAAAGGATCTGCCTTAATGGATCAAGCAGTTAAAAGTGGTAGGTGGGAAATTTGTACTTTGAGCCTTGCAAGATTCTGTTAATGCAGCCTTACAATAAAGTACAATTAATTTATCTGATCCTATTTCCCCAATGTTCAAGCCTTATCCTGCTTCAATAATGAGCCTGACGTGGGTCAGTCCTTGCAGTTTCAATGTGGAATAAGTTGAGTAAAGTGAATGGTGGAATCCCATAAGAGCATAACAGAGTTGGAAGGGTCCTTGGAGGTCTTCTAGTCCAACTCAGGAAACCCTTTTCTGGAGGCAAATTGTTCCTCTGGTTAATTGTTCTGTCAGGAAATTTCTCTTTAGTTCTAGGTTGCTTCTCTCCTTGATTGTTTTCCATCCATTGCTTCTTGTCCTGCCTTCAGGTGCTTTGGAGAATAGCTTGACTCCCTCTTCTTTGTGGCAACCCCTGAGAAATTGGAACACTGTTATCATGTCACCCCTAGTCCTTCTTTTCATTAAACTAGACATATCAAATTCCTAGTTCTTTATATGGTTTAGCCCCCAGTCCCCTAATCATCTTTGTTGCTCTTCTCTGCACTCTTTTTAGAGACTCAACACTTTTTTTTTACATCGTGGTGATCAAAACTGTATGCAGTATTCCAAATGTGGTCTTATCAAGGCATTATAAAGTGGTATTAACACTTCACATGATCTTGATTCTATCTTTCTGCTTGGTTTCTCTTCCCACTGATAGACCCCACTGGTGGGAAAAATAAGTACCAATCACATGCCCTCCCTCTCATGATGTGGTGGGGAGGTTGAGCAAGCATAGGAGGG